ATACTTCGTTTCCAAGTAGTTACTCGATTTACCTTCCTATGTTTATGATAAGGTATTCATTGATTAATTTAATTACTGATAATATAATTAATCAATTTCTTGATATGAAACTAGTACAACTCAATTCTTCATCATTATGTCAGAAATTAATCGCCGGCTCAGCTTAACATAACAATCCTTTTTGAACTCGTTTCATGGACGTCATCAACCAGGACACGATGACCATAAACAATTTCTATGACATATCATGCACCTTTCATTATTTATCAAAGTGCTGAGTCTGCCGACCTAACAAAATATTTCTCACACTTGGTAAATCAAATGAATAAGCACCGAAGGCATATGCCTATTTTTGTTGTCTTAGAAGTTAATAGAACGCAATATTACTGAGGTTTAGATTATTTACTTTTGTCTTTATAAAATAATCTAATCCTTCGTAGGTCTGTCCAATCCATCTGACAAGTACTAGTCTAATTCATTTGTCGAAAACCAACAAATTCAAAATCACACTATGACCTTTCATGACGGTTAGTTCAATTCTGTCTAGGATGTTAACAAATATTTATATTTTACAAAGAACTGATAATACGATCTTTCTGATCGATACATCAAACCATATTATCTACAATGAAAAATAAAGGAACTATGTTTGCAAAAATAAATCAACTGTGAACATACACTTGAGTATACTCCAAATGGAATTGAGTTAACACAAAGATGAGCTTCTACAGTATACTCCAACACTAAAATATGTGCTCCATAGTATTGGCCTAACTGTGGGCCAAGTCATCCTGCTCATACTTGAATTAAACAAAATACCACTACAGAAATATTACTGAAGTTCTCATTTAGCCCCTGAATTACAGTCAATTCGTCTCCCGGCTAGTGGCTCGATTCACCTTCTCATGTTTAAGATATAATTTCTTCTGATTAACTTAATTACTAACAATATAACTAGTCAACCTCTTGATTTGAATTAGTACCACTCAAATATTTAATATTATGTCGCAAATTAATCTGTCGGTTGGGCTTTGACATAATAATCATTCTTGAGCTCATTTTGGGGACGTTATCAATTCGGCGGACTGGAAAACAGTAACAGTAAACAATTTTTACGAAACATCATACATTCGGTATTATTTATCAAAGTACAGAGTCTAACGACCTACCATAATAGATCTCACCCATGGTAAATTAAATAAATAAGTAATAAATGCATATTCACATTTTTATTGTCTTACGGGTTAATGAACACAACAATTACCAAGATCTAAATTATTTACTTGGTCAATTTCTAGAGATTGAAAGGGCATATTTCTTGGTTATCCCTTGGCTTGTAAATGATACAGACTGTACGATCTAGAAACTAAGAAAATTTTAATCTTCAAGAATGTTATTTTCTACGAGGATGAGTTTCCCTTAAAAACTTATACTGATCCAGTTAATACACCATTATTTTCTATAATTCTACCTTTGATTCTCAATACCCCTGATATACCACCTAATAATTCCCAAATCGTTCTCCCGACCTTTTAATAGTGACAACTTTACTACTTCACCAAACAACATTGCACATTCCATATCCCTTACAAAACAAGCAAATATTCCCACAAAACATTCTCTTTTATTACTTTAAGCTAAAAGATATTCCATAATAAATTTGACTCTTTATATTAAGCAATATCACACTCCCTTTCTCAAACTCATTTGGTCACTACAACAACACATCCTCAACACTTTGGAACATCACTATATATGATTCAAAAATATGTTTCATCTGATTGACTATATACACATCATTCATGTTTCACAACATCTATATGTCAAATCTGTGAACCTAAAGCATATAAACAAGCTATAAAAGATATTGACTGGCAAGAAGCAATGTCTAAAGATAAAAGCACTTAAAGACACACATACTTTGTTACTAGCTGAATTATTTATAAATAAACATACAATTGGTTGTAAATGGGTTTACAAGATTAAGTACAAATATGATGGCTTAATTCAAAGATATAAGGCTAGAATAGTTTCAAAGGAGTGTAAAATTTGTTATAGCAAATTATATTTTTACCAAGTACGGGATGACTCCCGACCTCGGGTCGATCTCTCGAGGATGGCGGTTCGGAATCCAGATTCAGTGTTGAACACACACAAAAAGAAAATAAGACCTAAACACTCTAATCAAGAAGGTTATATGAATTATCAACTAAGAAGTCAGAAAATGCCAAAATCAGAAATCAACTCAAGAACACGAATCAAACACTGATAAATATGTTAGGGAGTCAGGTATAATTATTCTGATTCAAAACAAAAACCGTGCAAAAAATTGATGAGTTCAAGACTGACACTCTCGCTTAAACATATAGCGGTTTGCTCTCAATAACTTTCGTAACAATGGATTGAACATAGATGAACAAGTGCAAGCATACAACACCAACCTAGAGTCTGATCCCTATATCAGTCGTAACAAGTGAATGGATTTTGACGAGCATGTATTTCAATCCAAAACCTATAGACTATTGTTTTACAAATCATATATCTCATACAAGCCTAGGTCTACGACTTCTCCTCTTTCTGTTCTAAAAGCCGCTTAATTAAATTAGAATATAATTAGTCGACTAATGGTTTAGAATAAAAAAAAAAACCTAACTCTAAAGAACAATATTCAATTGTCACCAATTGCAAGATTGAAGTATCAACCTTCAATTATATTCAATTTTCAAGCATGAAATTAACAATCCTTTTCAAATCAACCCGCAGAGAATGGCCAAATCAAGGCCCGAAAAATATGAACGAACGAGAACAATTATCCCTAGCAAACGAATTTATCTATTTTATATTGATTTCAACATACATAATCACATTAACCAAACCCATCAAATTTATAAATTAAATGAAATGAAGTACTTACGATTAATGCGAAATTAAGTGACGAATTCGAACTACAAGCTTACTCCGAAAACAAATCTTGGAGTGTCACTCTCCAAGATCAAATCAAGATGAAGATTCATGTTTTTGTGGTGTAAAATGATAAAAATGAGTTTGTAGGTGTTTTCCTAGGGTCGGGAACGAGTTCCAATGAATGGTATCCGAAAAAAATGAGCAAAATGGGCTTTTATTAAGTTCTGGCCGTGCAAGCCTTAGCGCCGCTAGAGTCTAGGCAGCGCGACTTTGCGTTTCGGTTCGTTTGAGCTCGTCCGAACCCATACTTGAGTGTCGTTTTTTCCTACACGTCACCAACAAACTCTTCTAGTTAATTATGCTTGCATGGCTAACTTATTCTTGAAACCACCCGAAACTTCCAACCTGTACACCAAAATAGAAAAGAACACGAAGAAAACTGAGAAACACAAACAAAAACACAAAAACCCTAAAATAAAAGAAAACACGCAACAAACTACAAAATGGACTT